CTCGACCGCATGTCGCGAAAAGCGTGAAGCAGGCACTTCTAGAGCTTGAATGGGAAGTTCTGCCGCATCCAGCGTACTCTCCAGACTTGGCACCGTCGGATTACCATCTCTTCCGATCGATGCAACACGCACTTACGGACACACTTCTCCAGTTACAACGAAGTCCAAAAATGGGTGGACGAATGGATCGCCTCGAAAGACACCGCGTTCTACCGTCGTGGGATTGCCCTGTTACCGGAGAGATGGGAAAAAATAGTAGAAAATCGAGGAAATTACTTTGATTAAAGTATTCATTCATCTTCCCTTCGAAACAAATCGATTTTCAAGACGAAAAAACGATAGGAATTAAGTTTAACCTAATAATATGTTTAAAAAAAATAAATTCATGAATAACCCGTTTGCAACATATCTTTAAAATTAATTAATTTTAGATGAAACCGATACTTACATAAAAAAATTATATCACTTTCCTATCTCGTCGATAGACTGAATTGTTTATATATCAACCATTTACATTTTTCACCTTTTAATTATTCTCTCTATCATAACTGGGGTATTTGTACTATTTACAAAGTATATGTAATTTTGTCGACGTTGTGAAACTTTAAATTCTTACTTTTCACCTACTGAAACCGAATGTACCCTTTTTTAAAAGAAAAACCAACTCGAGATAAAATTTAAAAAAGTAAAGAACTCTTTTATATTTAAAAACAAAGATATGGAAACTGATTACGTTTTTTCTTTCAAACATCTAATTCAAATATATTTTTGGAAAGCATGGATGTGAATGCGGAGTTGTCAAGGAAAACGTCATCGAATAAATAGATAGATTACTCTCAATAATATACATTTGAGCTCCGAAATCTTGCAGATCTGTTCTTTCTTTTTTGCAATCCTAAGCCATAACGATAATATGGAAAGCTTCAATCTCATAAACGCTTATTATTATCAAGAACAGAAATAGACCGACTATATTGACTCCATTAAAAAATTTTTAATTACAATTTCTGTTCAACAGGATATTATTAATTTCGAACTATTTAATTGATTATAGTTTTACAATTATTACAAGATAGTTAAAAAACTGTTAATTGAAGTATGAAACAAAGCCAAATAACATTTATTAAATTTTATATTTATGTAAGTATATTAATATATATATATATACATATTTTGTACGTATAGGGATATGAGCACTGCAGGTAATATGAGCATCCTTTATATTTTTTTTTTGTGTAACGGTTGGTACTAGTAGTGCCAACTGTTGTAAAAAGATGCATCTGGCTTCGTGACATTCCGATATGTTGCCAAGTTTGATCTAAATTTATGTACTTCGGATTTTTATCATACACACTATGTATTCCACAATACATGATTTCTGATATAATAGTAGTGCCAACTGTTGTAAAAAAATGCATCTGGCTTCGTGACATTCCAATATGTTGCCAAGTTTAATCTAAATTTATGTACTTCAGATTTTTATCATACACACTATGTATTCCACAATACATGATTTCTGATAGGTTGAAATTCTTATTCTCTGTTCTCTGTTCCCTGTTCCTTTTATTGTGCGAAGCCCCTTA